AGCTAGAATGACTCTGACTTTCCACTGCACATCCCTCAGGCAATAAAATAATTTGCAGTATGTTTCAATCAGATATTGGAATCAGCGCTTGCTTAAATCATCTTGGCTTCGCTGGCATTTTAAATACACAGTGGTTTAGCACCGTTCCCCGACTGGGAGGGTGTGAGTCCCACCTCCCGCATCGCCCGGTCCATCACGGGCTGGTCTGCAAGGCAGCGGAGTGGTCCCCTGCCCACCTAGACCCTCAGCCCCCGATAAGATAGTGTCACCTGACCTGATTTAGCATTTACTGGTCTTGTTTTCTGTGGTGCAAATCCTACCCCAAGAGTATTTAAAGGTTACTCCTTCTCTGTAGCTGACACAGATTGTTGTTAGAATAACATTCTTATTGAGTGAATCAAATAAAAAGTGGCCACAAATACAACAGAAACTGAAGCAGAGGCATCAGCTTTTCATACTCATTCCTGTTGCTAGAGCTGGGAGAGAGAAACTAATTATTTTGCTTAGGCTAGAATGCAAATTGGAGAAACAAAATCAGCAGGTAAGTCTCTGCTGAAGGCCACGCAGTCAAAATAAATTCAGTGAATGGTATGTTTTCTCCGTAACAGATCTTACAATAAAGACCATGATATGATCTGCACCATGAAGAGCAGCTGTCTGGTTTAAAACAAACAAGCATCCTTGCTGTCATTTCTCTTTATAGCTAGGGAGCCTTCATTTTGTATTTTATAATCCTTAAGACGTGAATGTACTTAGGCTAAAAAATTCATTAAACATTAATATAAAGCCTGTTTTAACTTCAGACTGTTTGCTTCCCAAAGATAATTGTTTAAGAGAATGAACTGTACTCCCTTTGCGGCTTTTCCATATATTTTTCAAAAACTAATACTAGAATTATGAAAGATAGGAATAAGTACAGCAAAGTAAATTAAATCAAATTGCTAAAGCCTTGGGGAAGAGCTAATGCAAATGAATTAAACACATATAAGTTCCAAACAGCTACAGAGTAAGTTTCCTTCTGAGCATCGTTACTCTCGGAAGATGCCTGAGACACTAGCACCTTCGCTAGCTGTGAAGTCACTATCTTGTAAAAACAAAAGACAGAAAAATAAATTGTTAGCTCTGGCTACTGTCGTATATTGTAGTTTTTATCATCCCTTTCCTTTTCCATTAAAATTATTACCTGCAAAAGTGTAACTCTGAAATGAGCAACCAAAGTTAATTTTCTTTTTCTGTCACTGTGTATCATCTGTTCATGAATAGGTGGAAATTCTATATTTTAAAGACTATTTTGACCGTAAAGGCAGAGGAAACTTTCATTTAAAAGCTATTTATAAGGCTACAGTATCTTATAAGTGAATAAACCAGGGGAAGAAGAAAGAGGGGACTAAATACCAATGTGTGCTAAAAGTCATTAAAGCAGAGCTGCCACGGAGAGGTGAACAGAAAATTATTGTTCACTGAATATGGTGCATCAAATGGAAACAGCAAAACAAACAGAAGAGGACATTATTACAAATTGTAGACAAGTTTTGGATGTTCAAACATTAAATGTGGTTATAAGTAATGGGAGAAGATGATAGCAAAGTCATCCGTTGAAGGCTATTTAACACATCACACACACAGCTTTCAGAAAGTTCCTGTCCCAAAGTTCTCCAGTGCCCTCTGTGCTCTCCCTCTCCCCCAGGACCAGTGGCGGATGCTGGCCCAGGAGGGTCTCCAGTCAGATGCTGTTTGAGCATCCTTATGTTGTATTATTTTACAGGCTAATCTGTGTCTCGCTCAAAGTTGGTGATAATTTTACCTGGATATAAAAGTGTATTATGGTGCTGGCTGCGAGGGTAAAGGCAATAGGGCTGAAGAGGTTACGGATATGGAATTATCACAGCTGATATGGAAAGAAAACCCAGAGAGCTTACTTCTCAGGGCAGAGAAATGACTGGACGATAGTAAATATTAGTAAATTTGATTAGTAATTTCTCTGATATCTGTTATATATCATGATTTAGAAGGTATTTGGAAAGTACAAACAATTGTATGACAGGGTGGTTAGAGGAAAATACGAGAATCTGTGAAAGGCGGATCAGGCTTGGCTAGCTAAACAGCTCTCCCTTAGAAGAAAGCTGAGATCTGGCACGTTTTCTTTCCCAAGAATAACTCTTAATCTTTAAGCCGACAATTCCCTGCAAAGCTACTGCCTTGGGAAACTATTAGTGAAGCAGAATAAGGTGGAGAAATTGTACAGTGAGAGCAGATGAAGACACTATTGGGCTGTGTTGAAAGGGCAAACATCAGGCTGGAGAAAGAGACTGGTGGAATTTCTTATGAATTTATCTTCTTTTGTATTTTTTATTCTGTACCTGGGCACAAAGAATAGTCACGCTGTGATGAAATTTTCTGATGACACAAAATTGGGGGATATTATCAATGGAAAGAAGGCTTGCGGTATTGAGAATTTAGGATTTCTGGTCTTTTATTTGCAGTTACCTGTGGCTGTACTGCAGTACCAGTTAAGAATCTGGCTTCAAAATTAGACAAAGCCATATGATATTTTATCTACAAAGAGGGAAGGTTAGGCTGGGATCGATGGGGTTTTGAATCGGCAGTTGTCACATCATCTCTTCGTCAGTCATTTTTTTGCGAATCTCAGTCAGGGGCAATTGTCCTCAGAGTTCGTATCAGCCATTTCATCATCCTGTACCACTGAGCCCCGTATCCCACCCCTGATGCTATTCACCACTTCTGCCGCTCTGCTCGCCTTGCTGCCAAGTCGTGGTGGTCCTCTCCCAGTAATTCCAAACCTGGATCACGATAAATGGTGATTATTGCAATGAGCTACAAATACAATAGCTGGATGTCATGAGCTCTAAGCAATGTTGTCTTAATATGACAGTCTCCAAAATTTACCTTAATTTCAAGTACTCTGTGTTTCGCTGGATTCTTGTCTAAGCAAGAGATGGTAAGCAGCAGTACGTGTGCAAGCATGGTTCCTAATTTAAAGGAGCTGAGGGAATCTGTTTATAGCTTCCATTATGTAGGGAATTAAATATAAAGAGTCTGAAGGTTATTGGTACCTGTGATGGAGATGCCAACCAACGAAGGACCTGAGGACAAGATGCTCTCGGAGAGATAATGGTAGAAGAGGACTCCTTCTGAAAGGAGCATGGCATGGACTCTGAAGATCATTCTCTTGCAGAGCTCATCAGGGATTTGATATTTTTATGTTTTATGTCTGTAAGACAGCTCTTTTAATATGGATGCAAAGATTTCATGTATCTTACTGGCACAGGAGGCTTTCAGGATTTCTTCTTATGCGCTAAAAAATGAGCTGTGTTTTTTAAAGAGCCAGGATGTCTTGTCACTCACCGTTTTGCATCCAATTGCAAACACATGCACGTTTTTCATGCATGTTACCTGATCTAAATAGCTGTGCTGACAAGAGCTGAGTAACAACATTATTCTTTCCAGGTTGCCCTTATTCTTCTGCAATGATTAAGTTATCAAAAGGCAAATGGGAGTTGAAGTTCGGTTTTTGCATACACTGTATGACGACTATATTTTATTTATTTTGTATTTTGCTGGAATCAAAAGTCTGTCAGAGTTTGTAGTTGCAAATCTAAATTATTTAAAATGCAGTTTACTTCAAATTATGGGAAAATGGCCCATTCTGTGCTTACTGGAATATCAAAACTACCACCTGAGTGGATAGAAAAGATTAACATATAGAATCATAGAATCATAGAATCATAGAATAATAGTTTGGGTTGGAAGGGACCTCTCAAGGCCATCTAGTCCAACCCCCCTGCCATGGGCAGGGACATCTTCAACTAGAGCAGGTTGCTCAGAGCCCCGTCCAACCTGACCTGGAATGTTTCCAGGGATGGGGCATCCACCACCTCTCTGGGAAACCTGGGCCAGGGTTTCACCGCCCTCAGCGTAAAAAATTTCTTCTTTCTATCTAGTCTAAATCTACCCCCCTTTAGTTGAAAGCCATTCCCCCTTGTCCTGTCGCAACAGGCCCTGCTAAAAAGTCTGCCACCATCTTTTTTATAAGCCCCCTTTAAGTACTGATAGGCTGCAATAAGATAGCCCTTCCCATGTCCCCTGATGTAGTCACTCCATCCTAGCAGGCCACTAGGTTGGTCAGGAAGGACTTGCCCTTGGTGAAGCCATGCTGGCTGTCTCGAATCACCTCCCTGTCCTCCATGTGCCTTAGCATAGCTTCCAGGAGGATCTGTTCCATGATCTTCCCAGGCACAGAGGTGAGACTGACTGGCCTGTAGTTCCCCGGGTCTTCCTTTTTTTCCCTTTTTAAAAACGGGGGTTATGTTTCCCCTTTTCCAGGCAGTGGGAACTTCACCAGACTGCCACGACTTCTCAAATACGATTGATAGTGGCTTAGCAACTGTATGATTGTATATTTGTTGAAGCCTGAAGGCAGCTGCAGGGATGGGGTGTGGAGCAGTGTCTGTGCTGCTTCATCGATCCATCCATCCATCTTCTGCCACTGCAAAGTTAGGTCCCCCACTGAACACAGAATCGCTGCCTCAACCCTGTGCCAGGGTCATTGTTGCCTTGTGCACTTTATCTAAACCGAGTCAAGGCTTTTATCACTTTTTCTTCCCCTTCCTCTTCCAGAAAGTCCCATGTGTCACAGTCTGTGGTTCCTCTGTGAGGCTTGGGAGGGCTGAGCCTCCTGGGCTGCACGGGTGCAGGACCTCTCGCTGCATCTCGAGCGATAACATCGGTGAAGCAGCACAGTGTCTTTAAGTACTCGGCAGAAAACGTCAGTAAGCAGAATGCAACGCTTTGGGTGTGTACATTGCTGTTAGTAGCTGATCGGTATCTATCGAGGTTGTATACTTACCGTTATCGAGGTCCCCTCTTGCAGATGCTGGGTTATGCTGTGGTGCTCTAGCCTTTCAGCAGTGCCTGGTTAATTCTGTCTCTCATGCTAATTCGCTTACGAATCTCCTGCTTTCCCTTCCTGTCTCCCGCAGACCCCCCCGCCGTGGAGCCCACCTTCCTGGAGATTCGGCAAGGCCAAGGCCGGAGCATCACCATGAGCTGCCGGGTCCTGAGGGCGTATCCCACCCGGGTCCTCACCTACGAGTGGCGCCTGGGCAGCAAGCTGCTGCGCACCGGCCAGTTCGACGTGCAGGACTCCACCGAGTACACCATCAGCAGCCTCTCCCGTGACAGCTACGGCATCTACAACTGCAACATCATCAATGAAGCGGGCGCTGGCCGGTGCAGCTTCCTCGTGACAGGTAGGCTTGGCGGTGTCTTGCTGCGCCGAGATGATGGACGGGGCGTGCTGCAGGTTTGCGTGTCGTTGGGTAATGCTATTCCTGCTTCAGCTAACAAATTATCAAAGAGATACATCCCTCGAAGTAAAATCATAGCTTAAGGCATCTGGTTTGGATTCTGGGGAGTTGGTAAGAAAATAAGAGATTTAGCTTATTTCAGTGGTTTAAGGATAAAGATTTTTACGTGCAAAATATAAATATGCCTTCTCTGCAGGCATCTGTCAGTATGCTTTTAAGAGAGGCCTGAGAGAGTCATCAGGCAGCAGATTTCTTCCATCTGAAGTTCGCAATAAGGCGTGAATTTCCTCTTCTCCTTTGGTACGCTCAGCGAGCTCGGAGAGCGGGGTGGGCAGACCACACAGAGTCTCAAGCAACTTCAGGCTACCCGAGTACAGAGGGGTGTTGAAATTTGTTCCCTTTCTCAAAAAGCAAAGGACTTTGTGAAGTTAGTGCACAAGATCACAGACTCAGGGAGGATGTGCAACTCCTGCCATGATCTACCCATGCTGTGTAATTAATGCACTGGATTGAGACAAACTTTATATGTCTTTTATCTTTAGTATCTTGGATCTGAATGTTAAACTGAGTGTTCAGACATGCAAGTCTTGATTCTTCCTCTATTGGAAATTAGTTACCATGACTTGAAGACTCAGCCGCCTGATCCTGCAACACCTCATGCCTGCAGCAGATGTTGTGCCCAAGCTGAGGTTCTCTGGTCGCTGGAGCCACATCAGCTGTAGGTTCCCCATCCTTCTAGGCTGGTTGTCCAGGCACTTTTTAGAATCACTGGAGGGGAAAAAAGCATCTCTATTAAATGAACCATCTCCTCCCAAGGTCTGTGGTGGGTCAGGAACCCCCTGTTCCTCTGCACCAGCTGAGAGGGTGTCCAGCCACCCACCCTGTGTGGGCTCTCTCTGGAGTCAGCATGAGCAGCCCCAGCCTCCCTAAGGATGTTGGAGCAGTAGCCCTCTTTCAGCTCAAAATCCCTCCCATCAGCTGCTTGAAAAGGAATGATGGGAAAAGAAACCAACAAACAAGAAATTCAGAATATGTAGAGGAGAGCTATCTTAGAAGGAAAGATCCCCCATCTTAGTTGGGATTTTAGTCTTGTTTAACCAACTTGGGTCCAGCTACAATCCAGTCTAAATGAGGTTTTGCTTTCGGGTTGCTGGCAGCCTGGCAGCTCCCTGAACCCTGCCGTTGTTTAGGAGAATGGGCGTTATTATCAGCTTCACTGCTACCAGCAGAAAGGGTGTGGATTTAATGGATGAGCTGCAGAGCACCTCTCAGGGACCCTGCTCTGCATAAGTCCTGGATATCAGGGTAGACGCTCCACACACACCTGTCCTGGCAATAAAGGAAACAATTCGATTCAGCTCCCCAGTATTTTTCAGTAAAATTTTGTTTTATAGGAAAAAACTGTGGGCCTGCTTTCATTTGGATACTTTTTTTTTCTCTTTTGGACTTAGTTGAATGGCCGCTCACTGGCGAGCATTTCGTCGGGCCAGCGGTGCACGGCACAAATGTGGTGGGCACACAGCGAGCACCCCAGTGACTGATGGCTTTGCTTCTTTCAAAATGTAGTCAAGCCTTTGGCTGACTTATCATTCAGAGCCTGCATGGAGGTATTTTCACAGGCACCGACTTCTCCAAATCTTTGGAGTTTAATCCAAAAGGTGGCTCCGAAGGAAACCAGAGAAAACAGTATTTTTCCTCAAATGAGTAAATGCGGTTCAATTTACTGTTCATTGGACCTCATTCATTCTTGCTCAGACCCAAGACTGTGGAAACCTATTCTAAGGCAATTACTTTGCCAGGATTGGGAAAATCTGAGTGGCTTTCTGTGATTTATTACCATGCCAAAGCAAGGCACATAACTGAAAATTAGTACTAAAATAGTTTCATGATATACTGTCTCGCATCCCTCTGTGTGCCTTGCTCATTTTTAGTTTATACCATTATGCGAATTTATGCTGTTTGGTTGCGTTAAGGATGCTCAGAGTAACACTTTGGGTTATGACTTCTGTGCTTTCCTCGGTCTTTTAAGGTTAAACCCAACATATTTAGTAAATATATTCTTTGACATGTGGAGTTGAAATTGCTCTCAGGAAAGAGCAGCAGCTGTATTCTGGTCCCAAGTCTCATCAGGACAGATTAAGTTAAAGCACTGGGGAACTGAAAATGTGCAGAAGAAAAATGACGAAGTGGTCAAAAAGGAGGCTTACATTTCACCGGGAATGTGAACACAGAAAAGAAATGGGTCACTTCTCAGGCACGCGCGTGGAGAAAAAAGCCAAATAAATAACCCTGTGGCAGGAATCTGGTGACAGTGGAGAGCTTTTCTTTTGGGTGGAATAATGGGAGTTGTGGTAGCCCATTTTTAGTTGGTTTTATTTCCAGGTTTTCAGGTAGTAGCAGTGTGCTGCAATGCTCATGTTGCAGGGGCTGCAGAGAAGCATTGGTATGCTAAGAGAAAGGTTTTCAGTACAGTATTAAAAGCAGCCTGGATGAAAAGATTTATGCTGGCCCTAGAGTTTGTAAAACCTGCTCTTACTGCATTTGTGTTTTGAGCCATATTTGAGAAGATGCAAGCAAAATAAATCACATGTGGAAAAGGGGGTTGGTTTATATCAGGTGGGCCAATCTGAGGCAGATTTAACCTGCTATTGTCTTAAAAATAAATACGAACATACAAGCAAAATTGTATTTGTGGGAAAGCAAAGTTGAGTCCGTGCTACTCGCAGCTTCACTATGTATATGTTTTATTCAGTGGCTGCTAGTGCACATCATATCCAAAGAGAAACAAAAAAGTACATTTCCGGCAGTGTGTCATTAAAACCCTGCCAATGCTGGAAGCAAAGAGGAAAAAAAAAAAAAATAGATGCACAGAATGTCATGAATGGCACAGAAGCCTCCATGCAGGCGGAGGAAGGATTTGAGTGCTGGAGGGAGAGGGTGGGTAAGCGCAGGGATGGTCCCTCTCCCCGGAGAGGCTGCTGCTGGCGGCGGGGGCTCCTCGTGAGGCAGACCTGGAGCCCTCCCCGGGTCGCACCCTGGCTCCTGCCAGCCCAGGCCACCCCAGGGACACCTTTCTCGCAGCGACTTGGGTCTCTTCAAGTCAGGGGAGGTTGAACTCTGTATTTTCTAGGTTCCCAGCGTGCAAGAGATTGGCCAAGCAAGCCCTTGCGTTGCTGTCAGAAGGGTTGGTGCTACAGCGGGGGTTGTTTAGCAATGTTCTGCGCACCTGGGGAGCTATTTAGGATTAAGATTACCCGTAATTGAGGTTACCTGGCAAGTCTCGGCATAACATTTTACCTTCAGTGGCTTATAACTTTGGCAAGCTTTAACCACTTGTGCTGAAATTTGCTATGCTGGTGGCTGCCTCAGGCTGAATTGTTCTCAAAAGTTGCTGTCCAAAGAGGTTGGTTTTTTTTTTTAAGTAAGGGAAACAGTATTTTGTTTCGTAGAATCATAGAATCATAGAATAGTTTGGGTTGGAAGGGACCTCTAAAATTCTTGCAGCTGTTTAATCGGTGTGTTTGAAAGCGCCAGATACACATCCTTGCATGATTCCTTGCTTAAGTTACATCGTGAAATCTGTCTGTCCATCGTTTATGGTGCTGTCTTGACAATGTTATAATTAATTTGTGAGATACTAATTAAAGTAGTAATCATAACACTGGGTAGTACTAAACAAAGCTACTGATGGCATTATGTTGACGTAGCTACTTATACCAACTTCTGATCCCACTGTTGAGCAAAGACAGTCTTGAATATTGATTTTGTGTTGTTCTGTTTTGTGGAATTTTTTCACCATAAAATATTGCATTAATTAACGAGACAATCTTCAATTATTTACTTATCCAGTCTTGCATCACACTTTCGGTGCTTCTGACCGAGAGCAAGGTCAAGCCAATCAGCTCATAATTATGTAGGTTATAATTGTTAGCTACCAGCATGACCACAGGTTTCCCTTTCTTCGGAGCTTCACTGGTGTTACTGAATTAAAGACAGAGCAGAGCACACCATGAGCAAACCTGGGAGCATTCACCTACCCGCCCATGTCCCCAGTCGAGCTGGGGGTGTCCGCTTAGTCTGCTTGAGGATCTCCCGTCTCCTGCCTTCCTTTCCCACATGCCTTAGGAAATTTGAATCCGAAGAGCTGGACACTGAATCATCCCTTCTGTGTGATCCCAGCATCCATCCCCGGTAGGAGCTGTGCGATTCCTCGTGGAGCCTTGCGAGAGCATCCTTGCTGGAAGCTTATTCAGAAATTTCTGCCTCGGTGTTTCTTCTTTGCCCTTGGCACCATACACGGTATCGCTGTGGTCTGTGCAGGATCGAGCTGAAATCATAGCAGAATTACCATCCAGCCTTTTGTGAAAGCTGGGATGCTTTTGCCACAAGGGCATCATCTTAAAATAAATTGCAGACACTTGAAATTGCAGGGTATCGGGTTCTTCTCCACGGCCCTGTTAGCTGAATTAAACAGTGTTCTGCTGTTTAAAGTTTTATGGCTTCGTTAATCCTTTTTTTATTAGGGAAGGCCATTTGCACTGAACTGAGGGACAGAAGTGTATATTATTTGTAGCTTCCCATTTTAATTTTTTTCTTAGAAACTCTATGGGATTCATGTAAAGCAACAAGCAAAAATCCTGTTTTAGAAAGCTTGTTTGGAAGCAGTCATTGTAGTCTTTTTACCTGCACAATCCCAAAATGCCAGGATTTTGCCAGTGAACTGTTTTCACTCTACAGTGGTTTTTTTGTCAGTGTGAAGGCAACTTCCCAAGCAAGTAACTCGGCGCAGTTTTCATGAGCTGAACTGTGTGTGTGTTGGCTGGAAGACATGGCAATGCCTCTAATGTCAATTCCGTTCCTCACTGCGTGGTTGCTCCTCGTGGAACGATTGACCAGTGTCCGAACTGGTGGAGGGACATGCAGGAGCTGTGTGTTGTATTTCT